CGACGTCTCTACTCGATTTTATACGTCGGCGAGTTGGTCCGTTGGCGAGTTGACCGTAATTCACAGAGAACATAGATTTTCTTGTTTTCCTAAAAAACTAAGGACACCCGTTGATTACAACTACCCATTTGAAACATGGGACGCACTATACCATTGACACCATACCAAGTGTCAAACTCTTTGGTACCCTGATTATACATTTTAAGTGTTCCATTATCACAGTCCAGGTAAAATTCAATTACGTTTCCACTCCTACAAGCTGTCATTGTACTTTTCTGAAGCTGATTTAAAGGCTCCCATTTGTTTCCTGATGTCCATGTCCACTTGTTTTGACAAGGTTGCTGTGCAGCAGGACTAACGCCAACACCAAAACAAAAATTTTCAAAGTTATCACCACATATTTGTACTTTCCATGAATGCCTACCAAACTGAAATTGAGATGTCCCAAAGACTGTGAGAGGTACTGGTGTAGAAGTTGAGGTAACGCCATAGTCACTTGGAGGCACAATAACAGTCCGTTGAAGATGAGTGCCTGAAAAAAAACCTGTGTCCAAATAATGGTTATATGTCCCATAGGTTGCCCTCAAAGAGTTACTGTCCAGGGTAATGGAATAATTATATTGATACGGGTAATTGCCATTTGCTGTGCAAAGTTTCCAATTTTCAGTAATCCATGTACAAGGACTATCTTTCACATGAGAAGCATTCAGTTTCACTGACATTTGGTACTCATTTGGTTGTAATTCGTTTGGAGTAAAACAAAAGCTGTATGTTCCATTGCCAATATCTTTAGCATAGTCACTAAATGCAGTTTCACCAGATTGGGAGCGAATTTCTACTTCACAAGCATCAGTACCTTCTTCTCGTTTCCTTCCATCCCACTCTTTAGCAGTTACTATGAATTCAACAGGCTGCCCACTGATTGTATTGTACATCAAACCCTCTATCCCATGTCCCAAAGTTACGGTTGACATACTGGCATATGCCCTTATATGACTAGCAACATGACCAAAGTTAGTGATCTTCTCCAGCAATTGATCCTCAGCAAGAAACTTAAATATATCATGCACCCGTGGTTCCAGCTGCCACTTTAACGAATTTAGTTCTTCTAATCGGCGTGACATTTGCTTGCGCATGTTCAAAATCTCAACTTCACTTCCATTTTCCAAAGCCTTCTCTGTGAATTCTACACTACTTTGCACACTTCCTAAGGCTGCTTCCAGTTCTTCTTGTTGAATTTCCAAAGACTTCTGTTTCACTTTTTTTATTTCTTCAACATCATGAATCAATTCCTCACAGCGATCATTCAGACGAGCTGATAATTTCAGAAAACAGTTAAGCACTTCTTGAACAGTTTGATCTGCATTTAAATCAACACTTCTTCTCATCTCTGAGACACCATCTATTGCTTTCTTCAGTGACCCTGCTTGTCCCTTTGTCTTTGAAAGAATCTCCACCATGATTTTCTTATTCTTTGCAAAAGCATCTTTTACAAAAGTATAATGGTGCTCTCGATGCTTCACAATGGTACAGTCTCTACAGATAGCCTCCTCACATGTCTCACAAAACAGCTTTAACAACTCTCCATCATGTTCATTACAAAGACTGGGTTTGGTTACAGCCACAGGTCCCATCTTTTTAGCTTCTTCAATCGACACCACACCATGTGAGCTTGTGCCACGCCCTCTCCGATGAGCTTGTGTGCAAAATTCACAGAGGAAATGGCAGCATGTATTGCATCTGTTCACAGGCGGATCGCCACTCTCACAGTTATCACACTCCAATTTACTACTCCCTGAATCTCCATGAAGGGAAACCATAGATAATAAATTGTTCAAGAAGAAATTAATTGGCAGAGAATCAACTTCACCATCTGGAATCTGTGTAACAAAAAAAGAGATACTATTTGGAAAATTTGAATCAATTCACTTTTCTCCTCCTTATTTTGTCGTTTCCAAGCTCATATCTAACAATCAGATTGCACATTTTTAACTAAAAAAACAAATTTAAATAACTAAAGCAGGAAGTGACAAAAATTACTTAATTATGTTACTAATTAAAAGGGAAATAGCGGAGCTTAAACTTCACTTTTTCTCCATTGAAAAGTGGTGGTAGCATTTAAGAGGTAAAAGAAAAAGACATCCGATGGTAAAATTTCCGCACAGCCCATCCTACATTATGCATTCAGTTCTTTCCAAGCACACTAATAGAGGCGTTATTTGTTCCTCAACGTTGTTACACTAGTTTAGTCCCACATCACCACAATCAACAATAATTTATTTTCACAAACCAACCTCTACGCTGATGCGACAAGAAGGACAATTTTTTTTCTTTAAAAATAACTCAAAAATCAACGAGGCGGTTAAAAGCAAACTAGAAGGCAATTTGCATATGATCAGTTTAACTAACTTCTCAAAACGGCAATCACGCAGTTGGCAGTATAAATTACAGATACTGCTTGTGGTTTATGGTTAAAAGAGAAATTAAAACTGTGAATTAACAGAAGCAACGAATTTGGCATGTTAGTAGCGAACATATGGCGAAATCGACGAGTAGCGAAATCGGCGTAAAGCCATCTCTGTAACGCGATGGCGGCTAGAAAGCGAATTCGAGTATCCTCTGAAAAATCACATATTCTGCACAAAGATTACGGAACGTTTTACATCGTGCTATAACTTTATTGTTGTTTCACATATCCTTCAATCTTCAAAGAATACTCGTGCAGCGTAAATTCAAATCCACCCTTTCATTACTCCAATGCACACATGTGCGTACAGTTCTACAAAGATCCTGTAGAGGTGTGGCCGAACACTCAACGATTTCACATCACGACTGTAAAGAACAGTACACCACATTCACAAGCTTACCTCCACAATAATCCGACAAGAAGGGCAGTTCAACTTCCAAGTTTTTCTTTCTCTACAGACCAGCCCCTCCAGACATATTTTGCAGAAGGAATGAAGGCATGGAAGAACTTTGGGATCTTTGAACTGCTCCAGGCACACAGCGCATTCCAACTCCTTCTCTAAATTTTCGGCCAATGTTGAAGCTTTAGCCATCTTTGGTAGATCTCCTTCCTCACACGAAAAAGAGTGAAATAATCGCACAAGTCAGTTCGACGAACGAATGGAAATCATAACAGCTTAGAGGTTCTGGGAAATCGACTGGAAAGTCACGTCATAATTATGTTGTCGATATAACGTTCCACCCTCTATTAACGTAGGTACACAATGCGTACAAGTATGTCTAATTAAAATATATTAAAGTTCACACGGCAACCAGGTGGACAATCAGACATGGTTTGATGCTACTCTGGTTTACAGATTTAATTAATGTAACCGAAGAAGTTACAATTCACAGACCCAACGTTTCGACACTCTGTCTAATGCCTTCATCAAGGGTGATCTAAACGCTGCAACAAGAGATCCTTTTATATGATCACTAATTAGCGGCCTTTTTTCTGACGAGGTGTAAATAGGCGTCAGGAAGCAAACCGCCATCGTCACGATTTAAAGGAGCGTGGGCGGAGTTAATATGCCAAGCCTCCAAACAGAGGCGCTGGTGGTAACGCCGATTAGTATTAGTCGGTGTGGGTAGGTTTACGGTAGACACTTGTCTCTAAATTACCCTGAACCCCTCTGGACACATTTAAATCAAGAAAGGGAAAATGTCTATCCTTTTCACGCTCAAGGGTGAATTGGATCGACGGCTCTACTGAATTCAAATGCGACAGCTCAGGTGCTCCGCTTCATTTCCGGATACCGCAGAAATAACATCATCGACATATCGTTTCCAGAAAAAGGGTTTAACCGGTGAAGTGGTTAAGGCCCTTTGTTTCACGTCTTCCATTACCATGTTAGCAATGACAGCAGAGACAGACGAACCCATCGCTGTACCAAAAACTTGTTGATAGTAGGTGCCGTTATATGTAAATTGCGTGGTTTTGAGGCAAAAAGAGAGCAGATGAATAATATCCCCCACAGGCAAAGAAGTTCTTTGTCCTAGGGAAGCATCTTCTCTGAGTATCTCCTCCGCAACATTAACGGCAAGATTAACTGGGATTTTAGTGAAGAGCGAAACAACGTCGAAGTTGCACTTCGGCTGGCCTAGAAATTGCGGGTTTTTGATCAAGTAAAAAAAAAAAAAAAATTTCTTTTTTCAGTCAGAATTGGAAAAAGGCTAAAGATTTTCAGGCTACCCATGATCTTAAATTGACACCTCTCAAGGAGATTAACTCAATGAAGTAATTAATATTCCAGCCATAATTTTTATTACCAGATGGTGATGGATAAAGCAGTTGAGCTTCCTAAGCCGGAAAAACGAAAAAAAACAAGCCAGCTGATTAACAAAGGAGTTGGTTGCCCAAAAGAAAGAGAAAGGCTTGTAGCCAAAAAAATGGATCACAGAACATTTTAAGCTAAGAAAATTTTGATGTGTTATGAATTAGGTAAGTTGCTCTGGGTGATTAAAAATTATATCCATTCTGATGACCCGTTTGCTGTTTTAACATGCCTTGAAACTGTGAGGAGAATTTATAAAACTTCTCAGATTTTGGAAAGCTGATAAAGTACTTCGAAATAGCAAGGTAAATAAAAAAGATGAAAAGGACACAGATATCTTTATAAGGATTTGACAGCAATAGACCATTTTACAGTTGTGTACTTAGTTGCCAGGCCTTTGATTTGGAGTGAGACTGAAGGTGACCTTCAGTTGTGATAGAGACCAGTATCTAGTTAGCACAATAACAAAGTAATTTACATCTGAAAAACGGCAATGTTTGCATCCTAACAAGACCAGCCTTAGCCTCACTCCCGTTCAAAGGCTTGGCAACCAAGCGTATAAAAGTAAATAGGACTATTCACAAAGGGACATTATAATGATGCTTTGAAAATCATCAATTTGAAATTAATAACACCCAGGTTAATTTTCATGGTCTCATCCATTTTCACTGAGACTATTCATTCTGTAATGAGCTTGACAGTTATATATGTATATGGATGAGAAACAAGAATACCTGCTAATTAAGCAAATAGGTGATAATTATTTAGCTAAGGCCAATGGTTTAAAGGTCTCCTTCATTTGATACTCAATTTTATGTACAAATTATTATTATATTATAGAAATTTATGGTGGAAACTTAACATAAGCTTGTGATTTACATATGAATTTCAATTCATACAAATCTGTATGAATTTGCAGAGAAACATTTTAAACAGTTCTAACAAAATATCTATCTTCCTCCAACTTAGATACCAGTATGTTAAATCAGATCTCGCGAACAGCTTGTAATCATTGGGAGACAGGGGATTAGGCTGTATTAGTCACCTAGCACCCACATTCATTGCAGAGAGGAAGGGCTGGCCTGAGGTATTAGTGGGATCATAATTATCTAGTCATACTTCCAAAAAATTCTCTAAGGTTTGTTTTCAGTTTATTTATTTATTTATTTTTTCATAACAATATTTTTTTATTCACCTTCAACTATAATTGTAACTACCCAATAAAACATCATGCCCTGTAGTGAGATGGACTGTCGGAATTTAACATCAATGTCAAACAATTGTTCCAGTGAGCTACTCATTAATAATTATCAGATGAGACTTTAACCCTTTAACCCCTAAGATTGACTGGCATCTAACTTCTCCTTACCCTATCAGACCTAAATCAAACATGAAGGTCAGGAGAATAAAGGAGCTGATCACCAACTAAAGAAGCTATTGATTGTTGGGAAAATTCTCCATGTTGGCATCTTAGGAAATGTTTAGAGAACAGTATGGAGAATATGCATACTGATTTTAGAGTTAAGATTTCAAATAGAAAGGAAACACCATATGTTTCCAGTATTGTTCCCATGGATTTTGCAAACCTATAAACTGAATTATAAACCCTTTTATCACAGATGTCAGAGCTGATCTTACATCTTTTAAATTCAAGTCACTTTACCCAAAAAAAAGTACAAGAAATAGACCAATTATTGTACTAATAAAAACATAACACAGTGAGTACAAGCTTAAAACTATTTCTGAATAAATGCATAATTTCCCAAGCTGATATATTGGTTATTAGGAAGTGATGAGCAAGCTTTATTCACCTCCAAGTAGCTAAAGAAACATTATTGCCTGTCAAGAGGTTAATTTCCAACCATTAAATTGACAGAAATAAAGTACCTTTTAGGTTGCTATATGACATATACTGGGCGTACTAAAACAGTTGTTTACCTCAGTGTCAATGAAAGTGGTGGATATTTACCTCTACTTCAGTGAGTAATTTTCAAACAGGATATAATTCATTGAATACAATAAATTGATACTAAAATGAAAAAGAGACAGCTACACTTTATAAAAAAACTAAGTATAAAGTAATTGTTAATCAAAATTTAAGATTCAGTCCCATAAAAATCAAAATTTAAGCAACAAAAGCATATCAGAACTTGACAGTGAAGGAAATTGTCATATCAAAAAGCCTAAAAGAGCCGTAAGTAAACATAATGAGAATACCAGAGGCTTTGAAAAGGCAGGCTTGCCACTGATGCATATTTTAGGTATGCATATCACCCAATAACTGCAGAATGAATGCAATCCAAGATTACTTTTGACACAATTTAAAATTGCACTCTTCTTAAAATGTGTTTTTGGTTTAAACTAGGAATAATTTAATATCCTCAAATAAACTCTGAGCCCTCTAAACTAGTAGAGAAACCTGGTCTCCATGGCTTGTCATGTGAAACACTGGACAAGTATCTCCGTTGATGCCATACCAAATGTCTGACTCTTTGGTACGTTGATTGAACATTATCAGTGTTCCTTCGTCACAGTCCAGGTACATTTCTACGATGTCATTGCTTTCAAAGTCTGTAATAGAACTGTTCTTAACATGCATGTTACTTGAGAGCAAAAGGTGCTTCATTTGTTTGGAGTTCCACACCCACCAGTTTCCCAGACTGGCCAGATTGCCATGTGATCTTCTGCAGGTGCTGATGACCCCTAAGCTAAAACCTTCCTGAATATTGCCAATCAATTTAGCTTTGCATGAATGTTTACCATTGTAGAATGAAGTAGAACTTACTACATAGTCCCAACTGTTTGCACCAAAGGGCCGACCAGTGCCTCCATTGTTGTGTGAGTTTTTGGATTTTTGGGAAATTCCATTTGAAAGTGAGCTTGCAGTGCTAGTACTGGTACTGCCAAATGGTGAATTTGAAGCAGTAAATTTTTGACCAGATGTGAAACATGAAGCATTAGAGTATGGTTTTGAGACAGCAGAGGTTACCGCTGACTTCAGATTGTACTGAGCAGTCAGTTTTTCTTCAGACAACAACACTTCACCTTTAGAGCTGCCTGAAACACACAGAAGATGCCATTTTTCTACAGACCAAGTAAATGGGCCTCCACTCACATCATGACCCAACAGCTTAACAACCAGTTTATACTGACCCTCTTGTTCTGGGGTGTATGAGAAAATGTAAGTACCATCTCCACAGTCTTTCACCTCCAGGGCTTTAAAACCAGCACCACTGTCACAAGAAGCTGTGAAAGGGTCACCCCCTTCTACTCTCTTCTTTCCATTCCATTCCCTTGCAATTATTGTGAACTGAACAGGCTGTCCACACAGTGTACTGTAGATTAAGCCCTCTGAACCATGACCCATCATTACAGTTGATGTCTCAGCGTTGGTCATGACATCTGTAACAACACCAAAAGATGAAACTTCTCCTTTCAGTTCTTTTTCAACTATAAACTTAATGGCATCATCAGTACGGGGTACTAAGTGCCAAGTAGAAGAATTCAGTTCTTGTAGTCTGTTAGATATTTGTTTGTGTAAGTTCAAAATTTCAACCTCACTGCCATGTTTGATAGTCTTTTCGGTGAACCCTACACTACTTTGCACAATATCCAGGGCCAATTCCAATTCTTCTTGCTGAATTTGCAAAGTGTTCAGTTTTGCCTTCTTGAGCTCTTGTACCCCACTTACTAATTCCTCACTGCGAGTATGAAGACTAACAGTCAAGTCCTGAAATCGCTGTCCAATCTCTTCCACAGCTTTTTTTGCTTGAGACTCGATGCTTCTCTTCATTGCTGAAATACCATCCAGGGCACTCTTGAGGGTGGATGCTTGAGTTTTTGTCTTTGAAAGAATCTTCCTTACATTATTTTTTCCATTTTCAAATGCATCACTCACAAAAATGCATTTGTGACC